ACAATTGATATATATGTATGGATTGTGATAAGAGTTGTACGAACCCCTAATAAAATGATTAAAAAATAAATAAATCCTACCTCCAACTTAAGAACAAACAAACAAAATTTGCAGCCTTATGAAATCCCATGGGTCAGTCCTACTTTGTTGAAATTGAGGAATTAACTCCGTGACAAGGGTCTTGGCTTGTATTGTTTTCTATATTATGCTCTGTTACATAGTTCTGTTACCTTAAAAAATCATCAAAAAATCTTTTGTAGGCTTCCTTTTTTAACAACTGCATAATATTTGATCATTTGTGCGTATTTTAATAAGTGTGTTTGTATTTGCAGTGGTAGTCGAGCCAATCCCAGTTGGACAAGCTGCTAAGGATTATCTAAATCTGTATGTGATTCCAACCCTGCTTGAAGGGCTCACAGAGCTTTGTAAGCAAAAGCCGGGAAATCCTTTTGTAAGAAACTTTTTAAATTTACACTAAGAAAGTAACTGTCTATTTAATTTTCATGTTTGACATTGTATCTTTAAAACAGTAAAAGTATTGAGTTATTTTAAGAGTTAAAAAAAAACTATTTCATAGCCATTTTAGATCTTTTGTATAACTTTTGATTACTTATTTCTTTGCTGTTTTTAGCTTATAGAAACATTGTCCCTAAATGTGTCTTCAATGATTACATCCTTCAAATACTGAGCATTGTTTTTATGTATAATTTATATAATAATTGAAGTTATAAAATTAGCGATAATGAGCATTTCTCAAGATGTTTAACATTTTAGTTCCCCATGAAATCTAATTTTATTTCTTAAAGAACAACTGATTTGCATCCCTAGATACTTCAATGTTATTCTAATGTGGAGCGTGTGGTATCCTGTTGCATGGATGTTGGATAGTTATTAACTGGCGGCAGTCTAGGCTGTTCCCACCCGTAGGCCATTACAAGCAGCGCTGCAGTGAATGGCCTCTTTCTTATGTCTGCCAGCAGACCGTTTATCTGTTCAGTGTGGTCCCAGAGAAGAAAATGCTGAATGAGAAATGGACATTTAAAAAATTTGGATAAATATCGTCAAGTAACTTTTTGCAGTAGTTGTGCTATTTTATATGCCAACCAACCATGAATGAGACTACCTAAGTTTTTAGGCTTTGTGAGTGTTTGGGGTTTTGTTTTGTTTTTTTGTTTTTTTGCCAAACTAAGATGTGAAAAAATGGTATTTGATGGTTCACTTTGTTTCTTTAATTATGAATGAGCTAGAGCACCTTTTCTCATACACTACTTACAGCCACTGGGGGGTCTCTTTCTGTGGACTCTATTTATATACCCTCTGCTAGTTTTTCTCTTTGGTTCAAAATCTTGTCCTTATTGTGTGGGAACGCTGTGTGATTAGGGAATTATCCCTTTCAGGTATGTGTATTTTCCAATAGATTTCTAAGATTCTCACCTGTCTTTTGACTGTGACCACAATATATTTTGCTAGGTAAATTTTAACACTTTTGATATTGCTTAACTTACTGGGTCCTTTGATGGCTTCAGAGTTTCTAG